GTGGAGAAGGAGGAAGGGGAGGAGGAGAATGACTGTGGGGTCCTTGGTGCTCTCTGAGCTTGGTGGTTTTCTTGCAGATATTCCATAACCCAACTAGGTAACATCATCAGGACTAGAAGGAAGGGGAGTTGTAGAGAGGAGGAGGTAGAAGAGGAGGAGATGGAAGTCGAGGAGGAGGACTATGAGGTCCCTGGTAGTCTCTGAGCTTGGTGGTTTTCTTGCAGTTGTTTCATAACCCAACTAAGGGATAACATCAGGGCTAGAAGGGAGTGGGATTTGTGCAGAGGAGGAGGAGAAAGATGAAGACTTGGTGGAGGGTAGAAACGGAGAAGAATGGTTGGGTTGGGTGGCTCTTCTGTCTTCCTCTTGGTGGGGAGGAGAAGAGAGGTCCTTCCCCCTTTTTTTTAGCTCAGTGAGGATGGGGTGGTTTCATCCTTCTCGGCAGAGACTCCAAAGATGAAAACAACGTTATTGAATGCAAGCACTGGAAGTCCTACCACTCGGAGGACATCCTCTCCATGGATGGCTACGCCAATAAGCTTCTGGTCACCTCCTCCAGCAACGGAGACATTGTCCTCTGGTATGTCAACTCTGGGCAAGCCTTCTGCCGGTTCAACGCATCTGAGAGTCCGCTGGCACTCGTTCCCAAACGGGTAGGTGCAGAGTCCGCTTTCATGGTGGGGGTCCTTTGGCCCCTGCCCAAGGGCTGGACTTCCATTGCTACACCATCAAGTGACCTCTGCCTCCAGGACACTGTGGAAGCCAATAGGGTGGGGTATTCTTAGTTCAGGTTTGACAAATGGCAGTCCAGTTTCTTCTTGGAAGCTTCCAGGGGTGGCGCTCCCACAACTTTCGAAGGCAACTTCTGTTCCATGGGTTGATTGTTCTCCCTGTCAGAAAGTTTCTCCTTATTTCCAGGTTGAATCTCTCCTGGTTCAGTTTCCATCCATTGTTCCTTGTCTGGCCTTCAAAGGTGCTTTGGAGAATAGTTTGACCCCTTCCTCCTCCTCTCTGTGGCAGCCCCTCAAATATTGGAAGATGCTCTCCTGTCTCCCCTTCTCTTCCCTAGACTAGCCAGGCCCAGGCCTAGTTCCTGTAACTGTTCTTCAGACATATTAGATGGATGGATGGACAGATAGATAAATGATAGAGATAGACAGATAGAGGTGGATAAATAGAAAGATAGACAGGCAGGCAGGCAGGCAGTCCTCCAATATTGGAAGGTCGCTATCATGTCTCCCCTGGTCCTTCTCTTCCCTAGACTAGCCAGGCCCAGTTCATTGTATGTTTTAGCCTCCAGTCCCCTCATCATCCTGGTTGCTCTTCTCTGCCCTCTTTCTAGAATCTCAACATCTTTTTTATAGTGTGGTAACCAAAACTGGATGCAGTACACTAAGTGTGATTTTACTAAGGCTTTATGGAGTGGTATTAATACCTCCCTTGATCTTGATTGTATCCCTGTGTTAGTGCAACTTAGGGTTGCATTGGCTTTTTTGGCTGCTGCTGCACACGGCTGGCTCCTATTTAGCTGGTTGTCCACTAAGACTCCGATATTCTTCTCCCAGTTCCTGCTATTGAGCCTGGTTTCACCCAGTCTGTATGTGCACTTCTGGTTTTTCTTGCCTAAGTGTAGGACTTTACTCTTCTCTACGTTGAATTTCATTTTGTTGGATACGGCCCAGTGTTCTTTTCTGTCAAGATCCATCTGGATCTTCAGCCTATCTTCTTGGGTGTTAGCTATTCCTGCCAGCTTAGTATCATCTGCAAATTTGGTAAATTCCCTTTCTATTCCATCACCTAAGTCATTAATGAAGATATTGAAGAGTCCTGGGCCTAAGATGGAACCTTCTGGCACCCCACTGCTTCTTTCCCTCCATGTAGACTTAGACCCATTAAGGACTACGCGTTGAGTACAGTTTGCCAGCCAGTTGTGAGTCCATCTCGTGGTGGTGCTATCTATTCCACTTTTTTCCTAGCTTCTAGATTGAACTGTGGGGGTCTCTGATGCTCTTTGAGCTTGGTGGTTTTCATGCAGACTCTTCATGACCCAACCAGGGAATGTCATCATACATACCGCATTCCTCTCACATTTGATATCAAATTTGATATGTCCTGATAATCATTACTAATACTTCACACCTTTCCATTAACTATCAAATCTTAATCACTACGTAACTTGCAATACTCTACTAATCTTCTCGTTGGATTATAACTATCAATTAATCATAAATTCATAATTTTTGAATAGTAAATAAAAAGATATAGTGAATATAATAATAATAATATAGAAGAAAAGAATATTTAACACCTTTGTTATTCTTGTATATTTCATAAAGACAGCTGCTTATAATTTGTTTCTAGGTTCATTTACGTGTTTTCCCTTTATGGACTACCCAGTTGTACCATTTGTCCCATATCCTATAATAATCTGTGTCCTCCTTCCCATTGATTTTGAGTGTGAGGCCCCAGTAAAAGCACAGTTAAAAGCAGAATGAAGAGCAAGCTTAAACTTTGTAGGTTCAACATTAAAATAAAAGATTTACAAGATTCCCAAATGGGATCCATCTTACTGTAGGGAGGAAGCCGTGGTCAGCCTGGTCATAAGTCTCCTTTGGTCAGGGCTATCATAACAATGAACAAATGGTCATAAC